GAGGAGCCCTGGGACACCTAGGGAGATCTCTAGATTTACCAGTACAATGAGGACTCCTAGAGATCTGAAAGTACCTACAAAGGAGACTGAAATTAACAGCGGGACCAAGAACACTTGTAATTAAGACTTGCAAATAAACAGCTGTGCCTCATTTCTGAAGGGAAGGATGAGGCACACCATGATGACCAGGAACTCCCCCTGATTAGATAATTCCTATTGCGAGGGTACAATGGCCTTCAAACAGCCCATAGGGTAGTAGCTGAACTTGAGGTGAATATACTTAATTTCAGGAGGGTGGAAAATGGGATCATCCTTCTGCAAATGGGATATTGTACTCTACTAAAGATATCAGCCTTGGGTTTATAGTTTCCCTAGAAATAGCTCATTTACAACTAATTCTCCTAACGACAGTACACACACTAACCATAATTTGTTTATCCCTTTGCTCTAATTAAGTTTTAGGGTTAAGCATCATAATTCTTTCTCTAGCCTGAAACACTGACAAGTGAACTGAAAATGTAAAACCCCAAAGCAATTCAATATTTACTAAATTTAAAGGAAGTAATCAATTACTAATTTGAATTTATGCACATTCCTTTCCCACTTTAGCACTGTCCTATTCCTTTAAGCTCCTCTTTGATCTTTAAGACTGTGGGCAAAGTTATAGTCACTGAACAATTTGTCACATGCTGCAGATACGTGTAGACAAAACTAATCTCTCAATGTACGTGCATGTTACTAAAGAAAAATGTATTAGGCACTTCAGGACAGAGATCTTGTATGTTCTACATGCACAGTCTCATTCCTCCACAGAGAGCCTGGCATTGTCAGTAAACATTTGCAGAATGAATGAAAGAAAAAAAATCCATCCACCTCTTGAAAGAATTATTTACACACACTCAAAATCTCGGTCACACCTGACCCAGCACATGAGTGTGTGTCTATGCATGCACATGCTCCCAAAATCCTCACACGCTCATCCCTCAGGATGAATACATCATCTGTCCCTCTGACACATGGATTTCCATAACAAAACACGGAAATATTAACTGTAAGCGTCCCAAGAAAGATGACTTTAATGAGCATTCCTTCCAAACATGCTGACCTTCCAATACCTAAAAATTGAATTCAATTTTCATTAGGACAGCTGTTCCCATCTCCCTAGAAAATATACACTTCTTCAAGTTCCAGTTGGTATTTAAACCTTTAGATCATAACAAGACAAATTCAGTTTACCTGTCAGGCTTTCCCTGGAAAGATTATTGTGAAGCACTTTGCTAACTCAGACCACTTTTACTTCTGCTCAGGCTAATGTCCTTCACTGCTCCCTTGTTTTCAGTTCTTAATAGTTCTGAAGCTAGATTCCTCCATCTGCATTCCTGAGGTGATGACAAAAGCCAGACTACACTTTTAGCCTCCTAGGATATCCTGCCCTGGAGATTCTCAGCAGGCAACTGGAAATTGGAGTTAGCCCGGAGCTCCGGAATGAGTTAAGGATTGGCAAGGTCAAATTGGGAATCATTAGTGTAGAGGTTAAAGGTGAAGCTATGTGAGGAGATGAAGTTACACAGGGAGACAACATAGCAAGAGACAAGAAGCAGATCAATGACAGAACCTTGGGAATTGCTTCATTTAAAGGTATAAGGGGGAGGGAAAAGCTGTATGTGTGTGTGTGCGTATGTGTGTATAAAAGAGATCTCAACAAAGAAAACCCAATGAATACTAAGAAAACACCAAGATAAATTATAAATATTTTCAAGCAAGAGAAGATGTGCCAACATGCCAAAATCTCCAAAGAGGTTTAGAAGACCAAGGTCAAAGAAACGGCCCTTAGGCTTTGGAAAATGGTAGTCACAGATAAACTTTGGGAAAGAAGTCTTCATGATGCCATTCTTGTGGATTCTGTGTGAACACAGGCGGATGTGTACAGGTGTATATGCAGAGACCTCAAGCCACCATAAGATTAAATATGAGTATGGAATGAGGCTGGTACTGGGTGTGCCAGTCAGTGAACGTCATAATTTATTGACTCTCCTATGTGCCAGGAACAGTGCTAAGCTGCTGTTATGGATGACTGTTATGGATCACTTCAATCCTCACAACAACTCTATAAAGTTGGCCCAGGGATATAGCTCAGCAGCATAAGTTCCTGCCTGGCAAGGACAAGGTCCTGCGTTCGATTCCTGGTACAAAAAAAAAACAAAGAAACTCTATAAAGTGCCTACATTTTACAAGTGAGAAAACTACCTGAAGCCAACAGAGGTTAAATGAATTACCCAACGTCACACTGCTAGAAAGTGGCAGTGCTGGGATTGGACAGAAGATCCATTTGAATCTGAAAGCTCGTGTTCTCAGTCCCTAAGGTAATATTGTACTGTTATGCTGACTGATGCCAGTTAGATAATCTATGCATAAGGTGAAGAGCGCTGGTATTAGTTGAGGTCTCTTATTACCTCATACTTTGTACAATACAACTCCTTTCATACATACACTGTCTACATTCTGGGATATTTACAAACTTTATAAGGGTATATTTGGTATATTTAAAGAATTCTGATTCAGCTCTTTGGAAAATAAATTGAAGTCATATGCTTCCAAAGGACCAGTTATAATTGAAATTATTCACTACAATTGTTCCCAATGGTTTGAAATAGATTTTTTTTTTAAGTGTGGTGCCATTGATTTGGTGGTTGTTACTGAGATTCAAATTACTATGAATCAAACTCATCTAAAAAATGAGAGAATTTTGTAAGGTGATCTTAGAGGACCATTTTAGTCTTGACTTTCTGATTCTTGTATGCAGATCTAACAATTTTAAACATATGGAATATGGAGAATATAACTTTAGCAGCAGATCTGGTGAGCATGTTGGCATCCTTTTATTCATTAAATTTATGGAGGCCTATCATTAACATACTATGAAAATAGTCTTTGGCTCTCCAAGGCAATGATTACTAACTTAAACAGAAACTTGAAAACTCCATTACAAAATGATACACTGCAAAGCCATCCAAATAATTTGCTTACAACCAACTGCAGACCTTATAAGTTACAGTTGGCTATTGGAAAGAGAGAGAGAGAGAGACAGAGAGTGATAAAACCTCGGCAATTAATCAGGTTTTTGCTGTCTATAGAAAAGCAAATGAGGTTCTGAGCTGAAGCAATTATTATCACTGTTAATTGTGCATGTGTGCTGCAATAATACTAGGCATTTGGGATGGTTTCCACTGATTGTCCCTTTCTTTCTCTGGATTACAAAAATCCATTCAGACAACTGAATAACAGCAAGTACTTATACAAATTGTTAATTATGAGGCAGAGATTATCACAATCTTGTACATTTATAAAAGTGCATATACAATGGGGATTACCAAATGAATTGTTACTGTATTATTTTACTAGTGGTTGAAAAATATGCTAGCCTTGCAGTAGTTTTCATATATAATTCAGTCCACTAGAATTAAAAAATGGCTCCATTAATATTCACCAAAGCTGTTTCCCTCCCATCTGTACTCCACTCTTTTTTCTCACAAACCAGGTATTAACCATCTGTACTCTTCCCTCACTTAGACCAGGCATAAGTTGTTCTGATATTATCTTCTAGTCCAACCCATCAGCACCATGGTAAGAAAAAACAGTATTCCAGATTTATTTTGCTATAGAGCAAAACTGTTATAGAGAGATGGTGCTATTATATACACTAGTAAATTTTAAAGCAAAAAGAAAGCAAAATTCTCAAAGCTTCCCCTATGTAAACAATAATAGGGATAACAGTCTCCATGTTACTGATTATTCTCTACTGGTCATCTACTCCATTTTAATTTACACATGAGGAAATCAGGGCTCACAGTGATATCAGGAGTTGATCAAAGTCAGCCCACTAAATAGTAGTAGAACCTAGTGTCCATGCCATCAAGAAACATCCAATGTATGCTCTTTAAATGCCCTCATCTATTGATTTTAAGTGATTAGGAATCTATACCTTTTATCTCAAAGACTTATACCCCAACTCTAAAACACTGAATTTGCTCTTCTCAGCTAGCCAATGTGTCCACCCTGCACCTAATGAGAATAGGGGAGCCCCGCTACTTAAAGCTAGTCTAGGATATCCTTCAAGGTGTCTCAGCTAGTCTACTTTAATGGCATCTGTCTTTGTGGAGGAATGCCAAAGCTAGCCTTTGCCCTCCCTTTCCTATTTGGTCAGGGGGCACAGAGCGAGATACAGGCGGATAGGAAGAGAAAGCAGAGGCACAGGTAAATATTTATGGGCTCAATAAACCTGCCATAGACCAAATACAGTACTAGTGATCACCGTGACTTTAGAAACAAATGTGCCCAAGCAACTAGAGCACACCGTTACAAAATGGCTTATAATTCTCACTTGCCTCTGTAGCGCTCATGGCAATATAATGACACAGCCCATGGCAACAGCGGGCACTTTCCTGGAGCATGCACAGTGTCCCCTGTCCCGCACAGAGAGAAGCTTTCCTGTGCTTGCTTCAATTTGTTCTTCTGCAAGACTCATGTAATAAGGTCCCTGACCTACGGGATCACTCTACCTTGCAAATGTACATATTTGCATACTTTGGAAGCCCTGATATTTTCAAAGAATGGATTTTTTTCCTTCATGGCAATGCTGATCTGGTTGTTCTGGTTCTTAACCCGGCCTAGGGACAGGCAGGCATGCTTGAAGCACTGTGAAGAACAGTTTGGGGCTTAACTACATACTCCACTATACCATCTAATTCTAGCAAAAAGGAGCTAGTAACTCAATGACATACTTTCTAGGGGGTGGCCCTGGACATTCACCCTACTTCTGAAAAAGATTAGCTTTCACACCTGACACTACATGCTGTTTTAAACTCAAATAGACCCTTGGTAAGAATCTGTGCAAGCGTCTAATTTTTTTTTGTATTGAAATTAACCTGACAGGCAACTACAAAACCTATGCATTCTAGCTTCCTTGAGCTCAGTTAAACTAAAAATGCATTGTTACTTACCTTGCTGCATCTAGAATCTGAAAAATCCTCCACCTGTTAAAGGAATAGTAAAACCAGTTGCTAGCAAGAGCTTGGCAAGAGTTAAAATAACAAAAAGAATTCAGTTTGTTTGGGTAGTGTGTTTTCCCAGCTTCTCAAACTGTGAGGAAATACCTCACATGGCTTCCCACTTTGATCCCCATTAGCTCTTCTCAAGCCACAGGGAAATTCCGAATCAAAGGGCTGAAAGGAGCAGGGTAGCACTGAGCGCCAGCCCTCTGGAGGGGTATGGGCTGGGAATGATGGATCTACCACTCACTCATGCTAACTCTAGTCCCTTTCACAGAGAGCAATGCCAATCTCAGCAAAAAAACAAAAGCCAATGAACCAAAAACTGAACCAAGCCCAGCCCTGTAGCATCGCTAAACCAGAAATGCCCCATTGAAAGGACCAAGGAGGAATTTGCAAGGACTTTTCATATTATCAGGAATATATGAAACACCAATAAAAGGAAAAGAATGATTAGACTTTGCTGATGCTTTTCAGAAAGGTGGAAAATTCGAACGACTCAGAGGGACATAAATCACCTCCCTAGCCCCTTCCACCCAAACACAACACATCCATCAAAGCAAACAATGTCCTTCCTTTCAAAATACTTGCTTACTTCTCCTCATAATATACGTCTTAAGAGTCAGAAAACACTGTCTACTGCATGAATTTCTGCTGTTAACAGAGTGTGAAGTTGTGCACAGATCAGTTGCTCACTTGAGTATTCAAATGAGCATGGTTACCTTTCTGTGTCTCACTGCACCAGAAGAAAGGATATTATGCAGTAGTTAACACTTTTATACCAAATGTGGGTTATATGCCCTGTGCATTTTCTTTGGGGAAATATTTCTTTGCACCAACTTTATGGGTGGGATTTAGAGGGGAGTTAAGAGAGTGCTTTGATAGCATGGCTAACCACAGAGCCCTTGTATCACCATTTGAAAACGAACAAATTATGCCTTTTTCATCAGTGCCTGGTGTCGTTTAGTCCTCCTTCCTGCCTTCTGAGTCGCTGACCAGCTGGGAGATGTAAGTGCTATGAGAAGCAAAATTGACATACCAGGGGAGGCCTCGCATCAGATCTGTTCACTGAGACACTCCCATCAGGTGATTTACCATCCGAGGTTCCATGTTGCCATCCACAAGGAAGAAGTCCTGTAGAGTGTACTGCCCTAGCCCGTTGGCTCAGACTCCTCAAACAGTGAAGAAAAGCGAGGAGCCCTTGAACCACACTTGGTGTTTTGGTGACACAACACAATTTGGGGTGAAAAATTAAAAAGAAAACTAACAATGATGATGACAAGAAAACAATTTTGAGAAGAAAATAAAGCCATATATTGATTCTTAGCCCCAGAAAACTTCAAGGTCAAATATGGTGCACTTTCTAAAGTCATAATTTTTATTTCACTGTACTAGTGGAAATATATAGTGTAATAAAAGGGAAATAAAAATGATTATATATATAATTTGTATTAGAACTGGTTCAATTAATTTAACTATTTTCTGTTGGGATTATTATGATGTGTTACTTCTAGATAAACTTCTCAGTTGCCTATTAAAGTTTACCAAGTGATTGTACTGAAAAAAAAAAACTTTTGGAAGCACCTCGTCTTACCTGGGAGACCCAGAGAGCCAGAAGTAGAATATTCGATGGGGATCCATGAAGATATATATTAAGAGATGCATCGATCAAAGAGTTGGATGATCATTGGATGTGAAGCGAAGGCCATGGGGAAGGGGTTGAAAAAAAGAATACCAATTAGAAGAAAATAAATTAATTTTCAAAACTTATTTTACATAGACACACACACATACACAAACACAACTTTTGGAAGGTTCATAAATGGAATCCTTTAAACAGTCCCCTTTAATCATCATATTTCATTCAAAAAATTTATTATGCATTATATGCTAGGCATTGTTATGGGTACTCAGACACAAAAGTGAATAAAACAGACAAAAACCCCTGCCTCCACGGAGTTTACAATCCTGCAGAATTTCTTGTAGGTCATCTGCTTGGGAACAGTTCCACAGAAATATACCATATGTCAGTAATTCTAGGAAAGCATTTCTCCCTATTTTATTTATGCCTTCACTTATGTACAGGTTCAACCTTTATGTTAGAAAGAATTCTCTTTCTGATTAGAAGAAACATTATAAATTTAGGATTTGTCCTTGTAGAAAGTTCTTCCAAAAGATTGTCAATCAGGTACCTTTTCAGCTGGTCCATTTCCTGCCCATCAAATTCCTATGCTTATACCTTGAAATGAATCAAAAATAGGAAATTTCCCAATCAAGCTCAGTGTCATGAAACTGTAGTCCAACATCTTAAGAGTGTTTCTTATTAGTTGATGCTATGTTTCCTAGGAGTTGATCCAGGTGACATTCTGGGATAGCAATAGCCCTTCTTAGACAAGAAGAGATCTAGTTATCATGTTCATGGCCCAGATACTGGCTGGAGAACAAATGATAGAGCAATCTTCCTCTGGGCCAGTTTCACGAAGATGTGAATAATCCCTGAACTGGCAGCAACTGCCTGAAAGTGTCAAATTAATAGAGAAAGGAAAAGAAAAAAATGAAGGGAACAGATATGTGCATACGTTACTAGAATGATGGGAATTTGGGGGAGACTTGGGATCCTCCAACTATGACACCTGCCCTTAGCATTTATCTTCTCAGGGCTAGTGCTTAGAGCTTCAGAAATGAAGTAATTCCCTGTTCTATTAATATTAAGTAAACACAGAAAGATTTAGGGGAAAAAAGAATGATGTAAAAATCCAGAAGCCCTTGTCTGAAAATCAGGATCCCTGGTTTCTAGCCCTCATTTCACCAATTATTCATTTCATCTTAGATAAATTCTTGTCTCCACTCTCTGTGGGAGATGAAGGTTGACAAGTTGGTTTCTAAACACCCTCCACTTTTAATAGCTTTCTGTTCCACTTTGGAGCTAAGTTACTTAAAAGGACATGACTCTCTAGTGATTTTCTCAGTACAACATGGCCCTAGTAGTTCAAAGAGTCCAGGGCCCCAGTACCCTGAGTTTATGAGTTAATTAGAACATGGCCAAATAATAATGGCCAAATTCAAATGTGGCCAAACATCATTCTGCCCAGAGCAATAGAGTGGCTTGTCCTTTATGATGGGAAATTTATACAAAAAACCTTAATCGAGAAAAAGAACCAAAATCTAACCGATGAACACTTGATCCTCCCCACCCCCACCATCAGTCTCTCTGCTCATGCAAGTTCTTCACCTATCAAGAGCCGGGGATGTTGGTGATGGTCGCCTACCCGCAGAGACCTCTGTTCCCACACGCTTACATATAAAGGCTAGATGGCTGCTCAGATTTTGTGAAGGGTTGTTAAAAACCCCTTGTCAACACTGTTTTAGTCTGATTGCAAATCTGTAGCAGATAATACACGCTGTGGGAAGCAAACGCCTACCATCGTTCCACAGATGCCAGGCAAATGGCCCATCCAACGTTGTTGCTCTCTAACACGGGGCTCGTTCGCTCACTCTCTCCAACTCCCACACCAAGAACTGCTGTGCCTTTGATTTCCTACCTTCACACTTTGTAGTGTACCCTTCCACCTTCATCCTGCCTGAGCTGGTATAGGGCTGCTTAGTAACTCACCACACACCCCTTTGTATCTCAGGCCATATTCTTTATTTGATCTCTGAAGATCAAATATAGTACAACCTAATAGAAAAAACCTGATATTCTGCATACTAAATTTGATCCTCCTAAAAGGGAAGGAGTCCAGTGACTCCAAAGGCTTAGATTAAGGACTCTTCAAACTAGTTTTGGAAAATATCTGTTAAGACCCTAGGCAAAACAAGCTATTTGTCTTTTCTTTTACACGCAAAATGTTAAAATGCTTGACCTCAGCCTTGTGCTTATGCATGGGCCTGACAGATGGTTTGGAACCAGGAGATAAGCCCAGGAGTCACAGAGATTGTGTTCTAGTACTGATACTTGCACTTACTAACTTCATGGCACTGCAAAATGTCTCACTCTCTCAGCCTGATTTCTTCACCTACAAAATGTGGACAAGAACAATGCTTGTACCTGCACTAAGATCCAACATACTTCACAAAAGAGATGACATGGGCACTACCCAATCAAAGAAGAAGCCAACTGTAAACCATGTGTATGTGCAGGCCATGGAGTCTAAAGCTCGCGGGGAGGCTCTCAAGGTGCTGTGCGGATTAGGTGAGATCATGCATGGAAATCCTGTAGGATACTGCAAGGCCTGGAGTCCGATGCAATACATTTTACACATAATCATTTTTATTAAGGAGGGATAACAAATATGAGAATAGCCCCAAATGGTGGTGAGTCCATTGCAGGCCATGGACACAGCAGTGAGGCCCCTGTCACTGAGCTGTCTGGCTTCCCTGGGAACAGAGGGAGCCTGTCAAAGACAGTGCTCAAAGACACCTGCATATCCAAGGCCACACAGAGGCCATATTTACTGATATACTGGGCAGCTGTCCCCCTGAAACTGGTGTCTCTTGCTTGAATGCTCTGCATTGTTCCTCATTCCGTAGCAAGAAAAGTCCAAGAGACACCATATATATTTCATGACTGGGAGCTCCTTGTGGTTGGCCTGAGAAGACAGATCCCAAATCATCCTTTCTAGTTTTTATTCTTTAAGTACCGGCTTTACTCCCTGGAGGCCCAGCCTTTGGCACAACCATGAAATCTCTGAGTTTGTTTTGACTGCTTGTTTCACATGTCTCCCTTCCCCCAAGACACTAAACTTGGTTTTCAGACCCATCCTCTTGACTTTCCATTCCCTACCGGCTGACATGGTTTTTAATTTGTTATTGCCTTTGCACAAAAGCATTTTAAGACTACAGACCTTTCTAGACCCAGAAAAATGATCACCTATTGATTCACTCTCCAGTTCTATGATAATTAGACAGAATATATCTTGGATGAAAATTTGTTCCAACATCTCTCCATTTTCATCACCTAAGTGACATACTATGTATCACAGAGC